TCCACCCTGACGCAGGGTGGTAGCACCTGTTAGGGTCCCAGCTATGGGCAAATAGTTAACCATCAAACATAATGAAAGTGTAAAAATGGTTTTAATACCAGGAATAATTTGTAAAAAAAATATTACCAGCGATACATTTTTGAAGAAAATATATTACCAGCAAAAAACTTGTTGGCAATAAATAACCCATTGTGGTTGATATGCCGTAAAACAAAATAAAACAAACAAACAAGAGAATACTGTAAGACTGTAATGCATTTCCCCATGCCACCCGCAACAGTTGGTAGAATACTGCAAGATTTGTAGGCGAACATACTAATGAAGGCAGGTATTATCACCCTCCACCATGTTTGATATATATTATAAGGATATTGACTGATGGTAAAAAAATGGAAACTACGAAAAACTTGAATAGAGATAACGGAATAAAAAAAAGAATTTGAAAATATTGACATGGCAAGAAAACCAATTTGTTTTATGAATTCAATTATTTTAAGAATGCCATAAAAATTGATTTGAGAAAAATGAAAAAAAAACGTAATAAGCAAAAAGAAAAAAATGATTTGATCATTAAAAAATGAGATAAAAAAGAAACTTATATTTTTAATATAAACCGAAAAGTTACAGAATAACAAGAACATTGGCTGAATATATAAAAGCAAGCAAAACTGTAGATTTATTTAAACATCTGAAAGGTGTCAGTGAGACAATGAAAAATATGGAAACTCTCCACAGTAATATTTCGTGATGAATGTAGATGGATCTTGGAAGTATCTGATGACTTGATTTACAAATCAACAGTTTGGAAGCCGAATGATGCTACTATTGTAAGCAGACATATTATAGATTCTTTCTTGATTCGTTCTAGGTTCAAGTTAAATGTTTCTTTCTAGGTTCAAGTTAAATGTTTCTTTCTAGATTCAAGTTAAATGTTGGAAGATCTCAGAAAAAATGTTTAACTGTTACTATTCGCAAGCAGAAATCTTTACGCCAGAGTCACTGGAATCATGAATCCTGTAAGAAAAAAATGTGGCCACTGCTATTGTGCCAAACTGAATTCACCCACCTTGCCAAAGGTTTGCAAGTTTACAAATTAATGAAATGGCACCTGTCTTTTACAGATATTGACCCGATAGAATCTTGTGGACCACTCTTAAAAGTGATTTTTGCGAAAATGAAAAACGATATTCAGGCAAAGATCCCTCAAAAGCAATGAGAACTACTCAAAATACTAAAGTAAAAAACAAAAAACAAAAACCAAAAAAAAAACCCCAAAAAACAAAAAATCAATGGAATAGATAACGAAATTCCGTTGAAATCAGCAGAATTACAAGGATCCCATATGAATATTTAAAATAATTTCTGGTTCTTCGGCTTGTGTCTTTTGTAGTCAAACATAATTAGAAATTACAACGCACATTTCCCTCTTCAAAATAAGATAATAATATTTAAAAAGTAAATAAAACAAATCGTCAGTAGTTCATTTTCTGAGCGACTGATCGGTTCAACTCTCTGTCTACGGACGGAGAGGAACCCGAAGGAGGCTACGCCGAAGGGCGGAGTCTCCTTCGGGGAGGTAAAACCGGCCCTGAACCCGTTTAGACGGGTTCAAACGGGCATATTATTATAATAATACCCACAATAAACAACCGACCTTGTGTCACATGTTGCCCCAGTGGGGGGGGGGACTCAATATCATATAAATATAATTGTCTTAAATTTCTTTTAGCTAAAACCAAATTAATTGTGTAATAATGAATATATATGTTTAAATCTTAGGCAATTTACTTAAACCCATATCTATTCGATTTCATTTCCGAAACATAAACAAGACACATTTATTAATTAATGGATTTTTTTTTTTGTTTTCGCACATTTATATATTTCTTCAAAATGTATCTTTAGTGAATAAACGTATTTATGTAGAAGGCCTAACGGTAAATAAAAAGGCGATAGACTGTGATGCTGGCCGTGGTCTAGACCTTCCAAAGCACGTTGGGTCAGACGATGGTTTTAAAGAGTGACACAATTTCCAGTCTTTTCGGAGAGCATATTACCTCGATCCTCAAGCCATTTTTTCCATTTCAATCCAAGCGCAGTGATAAAGCCACTCTGGCACAAGGGAACTGCAACTGGAAGAAAATGAGTAGGATATTAATCATTAATAGGATTAAGAAAAACCGAAGATAGTGATTAGCGTTTCATTTAAATTTTTGAAGATTGTAGGTGGCAGAAAAATTGGAAAGTATTTTCATAGTCAAGAAGTGTGAGAAAAGAAACTATGAGAATAGAACTTACAGTTACATTTGGTTATTTCAACAGGAGAATGGTGAGACCTAAGTGCCAATTTTGTAGCGCACTTCAATTCAGACGAGGCAGAAAATAAAGCTCATCAGAAAAATCGCCATGAACATATTTGTAGAAAAGACAAAGAGAATCTAAAAGATAGAGTTAAGAAAAGGACTGAAGTCGAGATGGCATTTCAGGATCAATTAAATTGGAGACCATTCTTTGGATTTTGTCAAGAATCTCAAGATATATAATAGGAACACAAGATTTTGTATTTTTATCGTTTTTCATCTACATCTATTTACGCATTCTACAGCTTTCGTCAAGTTTATTCCACATAAGAGAGGAAATAAAACTGGTTGACTAAGATGAAACATAAACGATCTCTAATACACGAAATGGATCAATCTGTTTCAACAAGACCGGATTCAGAAATGTGTAAAGTTATACCGGATGTGGACCCATCAGCAGCCCGGAACATACTGAACAGAATTCGTCTCTGCGCATAAGGATGCACGCATTAATAAGATACAATAAATAAGCAATATCTAAAAATAATCTTTTCTATCCAAGGGCTGGTTACTTGATTATCTCATGAATCATCTCATACATAATCAAATGACGAACGTGTTCCACACCAAAAGAACAGCCGGGCAGTTAAATCAAACCACGTCAGATAAAACGAAAAATAAACTCTACTCACTCGTGAGTTCGATCATCACTGGTTACTCCATAATTTCGGCCGTGTGTCACCACAAAGCTACGCTGAAAGAATAAGAAAAGTGAGCAAGCTTGTCTCGCCAGATCAGTTAAGACTGAGTAGTGAGTTCGATCCTCATAATATCGGTCTTGTGCCACAATTAGCCTAAGCTTAAGAATAAAGAAAACTTGTTACTTTGGCATGGTTTAATAATTAACGAGTTTGATTCGCTAGATCAATTACGACTGTGTAATGAGTTCGATCCTCATTGGGGGGTCCATCATTTCGGCCCTGTGCCAACATTAAATCAATTTTTATAAGAATAAAGAAAACTGAATACTTGGACGTGGTTGCTGTGATTAGTAAGCTTGTCTCGCTACATCAATTACGACAGAGTAGTGAGTTCGATCCTCATTGGGTACCCCATAGTTTCGGTAGTGGCCCACAACAAGAATAAAGAGAAATGACTAATTCGACGTGAGTAATGTTCAGCTATCTAGATCAATTATAACTGACTAGTCAGTACGTGCCTCAATGGGTGTTACATAGTTGCGGTCACGTTTAGTAAATCATGCGAATAAAAAATACAGTTTAATTATAATTACATTAACATCTTCAGTTTCAGTATATTCTTTATCAGTTCAGAACCAAATGAGTTTTGTAGACATTGTTATATTTCAGACAAAAAGTGGATAATTACAAATGTCAGAAAATCATTTGTAACACGTTTCCTCCTACGAAAGGACTTCTTCAGATGAAATAATAATTTTTTTTATAAATGGAACCTTCCATTTATAGTGAGAGGGAATTAAATACAACAGATATCGCTTACAAATCTAAACTTAGATAAATTCTGGGCGCCGATGTTTGAAAATGTCTAGCCTCAACGATCTTCTTCAGCTTTATTCTGATTTTATTTTTGTTTTTATCGCTACGGTTTTGAAATATTCCACATTTTAATAGCAGTAGTTCTAATAGGAAAGGACATATATTGTGTGATCATGGGCGTAAAATTACGGTAGAACATTCTGAAATCAGTGCACTTTCAATATATATTCGGCCATTTCTTTTAATTACAAAATTATTTTTTAAAAGTTCCGGTTGAAGAAATTTGCTTTTACTTTGTGCTAATCGGCTGAGATACATGAATCCATTTTCCTTAATAGATCATCTGAAGGATTATTTCATGTTACAAAACCCTGAGGTACTGTTTTGTTGAATTGTTCATGAGAATAAAACACTGACAAAAAAAAACTACAGCTTTGTACCCTCCGTGGTCGTCTCGCTTAGGCACCATGGACAATGAGTACACTCGGAGATGTGTGCTGATCTTAGCTTCAACCAATCCGAACGGGGAGAGGGAAGACCCTACAAGAAATAGACATCTCATCATCTTTTGATTTTATCAATCAACACAAAGTTCAAATCTAACTGCATTCAGTGATGCTGAATAGGAACCCAGTTTTTAGCACGTTCACCTGAACAAATACTTTTTATTGCAGAATCTGTTTCTAAGATTTTGGAGTTATTCCGATTGATGCTTATATTTGTGTATCCTGAAACATACAAAGTTTTGAAAATAATTACCAAGGTAGCAAGAAAGACTCTCTTTTACTCATAAAGTTTGGTTGTTTAGCGTCATATCAACCTCTAATGCAGAAATCTACATAATTTGTACGCACTTTTATTTTTTTCCAGATAATAATGGTTTCAGTTTTAATAATTAACTCATAGCAGGGAGGAGAAGAGGTTGATTCATGCCTTTCCAAATTTGTGTATAAGCGTATTCAACTGGGATTAGAACTCGGCTCTCCGATTAACAATTTCGAGTCATTGTCCGTTTCATCAGCCAGACATACATACATACATACAGGCTTATAGAATACCAGCTTCCCAAGCGGTCACCCATTTAAGTACTGATCAGGTTCGACGTTGCTTAAATACGGTGAACGTACGGGAATCGCTATTTCAATGTAATATGTCCTGAAGTCATAATACCATCACTTCCAAGCTACAGCACCTGGTATTCCCAAGATGTCACCCATCTAAGTACTGACCAGGCTCGACGTTGCTTAACTTCGGTGATCGTACGGGGACCGCTATTTCAATGTGATATGACCTGAAGTCATATTACTTGCACATCCATGCTAGAGTACCTGGTATCCGCAAGATGTCACCCATCTAATTACTGACCAGACTCGACGTTGCTTAACTTCGATGATCTTAGGGCAACCGGTGTTTCACGTGATGTAGCCGTAAGATCAGTGCTATACAATCTTTTATATAACGTTATCACCGAATTAAGTTGTAATTGAACACAGTTAAACTCAATAAATCTGTATAGATTTTTACCTAATTGACACATTTCATGTTTTAATTCTGGTTCTAGAAAACCTCGAGTATTTCGGCCGTAATCCTTCTATTCTGTTATGCAGAATGGGCATTGAATGACTGCTACGTTTTTACTCAGCTTTCCCTGGCGTCAAATATCGTATAATGCCAGGTGGAAACTTTAAAACAAACTTACCGAATTAATGTGTTACATTTCGAGTAATTTCGTCCATCATTGGTTATTTTCAAGGAAAGACGACAGAAAGTGGAAAGAGAGTAGAAAGTTTATATTACTAAAGCTCCAAGTTTTAAAATCAGCCTGGGTTCATATGTTTCCGCCTTTGAAAAGGATAAACGATGATTGAAATTACTTATAATTTCGGCAAATCCATTATTCCAGTTTCCGGCTAAGATCAATTTCTTTGAAAAGTAATGAAAATTCGTTTGAATAAATAAAACCCTTAACACTTACAAGTCTAGCAACAAAGCAATGTACTAAATTGGGCCATTTTCTTGGAGCTGGAGACACATTAGCAGAAACATTAACTATCTGTTTAACAGATGTTAACAACACAATGAACATTACAAGGGTTCAATGTTCGCCTTATTTAGCCAAATATATATACGTTTATTATAGGCAAGGAATCGATTTCCGATAACAAGGTTCACAGTTCATCTGCGTATTTGATTACATGAACTATATAAGTATCGATTCGGTTATCGCTATAATTGATTGACGAAATTCTTCTCAGGACAGTTTCATATTAAGTCCGCCAATCAAACAAAAGTTGATCGGTTTCATTTAATCGAATGTGCTGATCTTTCAATTTTAGACAAACTATATGAGTTAATGATGTCTTTGTAATTATTGGTCTTTTTATTGGCTTTTTCACCTTATCTTTTTTTTTTCTCCTGTCATTCTTTGCTCGGCTTTTCCTTTCTGTTTCATCATGATCATGATCATCATAATCATCATCATTTTTATTTCCTTTCTTTATCGTCTGTTTTTTTTCTTTTTCATTTTCTCTTTTCTCTTGATAATCTCTTCAATTTCGAAATGAAGTTCTTACTTTTCTTCTTTATTTCTTTCTTTTATATGTTCTTTCTTTTTCTGATGATCTTCTGTCAAATTTCTTCATCAACTTTGGGTTAATTCTTTTCTTCTTTCTTTCATTCTCCTTCCTGTTCTTTCATAACCTTTAGATTCTTTCTTCATTCAATCTTTCTTTTTCATTTCTTTTCTTTACCGCATCCGTTCAATTTCTTCATAACTTTTAGGTTCTTTTTATCTTTCCTTTTTTTCTCTCTCTACTTTCCTAATAATGTCTTTCTACCCAATTTATTCATCTTCTTCTGATTCTTTCTTTGCTTCTTTTTCTTTTGTCACCTGATATTTTATTCTGTCCAATTTCTTCAGTTTCTGTATTTTCTTCTTCCTATTTCTTTATCATTTTCTGTCTTTCTTTCCTTCTTCATTTCTTTTCTTTTTCTTTTCTTCTCTTATAATAATTTTCTCCTCATTTCTTCATCTTCTTGTTCTTTCTTTTCTTTTTCTTTCTTTCCTTTTCCTTTTTTTCTTATCCTCTTCGACTCCCCATTTTTTCATCTTTCTTTTGTTCTCTTTTCTATTTTTTTCCTTTTTTCTTTCCTGGTCCGGTCCAACTTCATATTTCTTAATTACCTTCGTTTTTTTTTCTTTTTTATTCTTTCAATTTCTTTTTCTTTCGTCTTCTACTTCCTACCTTCTTTCATCTTCACGTTTGCCTTCACTTTCGTTCTTTCTTTCTCTTTATATTCATTACCATTTTCCTTTCATCCTATTCTTTGAAGTGTGATGTCGGTTTTCTTAAAAAGATTTTCTCAATACGATTAATTATTCTTGTTCCTACTTTTAGAAAATACATCTGATTAAATAGAAAAACTTAAACCCATGAAACCGGATAAATAAATACGAGACGGCAAAATATCAGAATATTACGATTTCATCTGTGTTTATATTCCTGTGACTGGTACATGCAATTTCATTTTTTAGAAGGAATCACTTCTGTTTCCTAATTTGCAAATTTAGCACAATTATTTTTCATTCAAATTTGGCCATAATTATTTCTCGTTTAAATTATTGAGAATTTAAGGGTAAACTTGAATGTTTTTAAAATCACAATCAAGGTAATAAAGCCACCAATACGTTTGGAATTTAACAGAAACTGAGAAAATATTATTGAGGAGGGGGGAGAATTAAAAAGACCAGGACTCAATGATATTGAAGATGACGATTAATTCTGCTTTTAAATTTTTGAAGAGCGTAGTTGAGTGTAAAGCAAAAAGCTTGAAGAGACTTCCGCAGGAAATAAGCTTGAAGAGAAATTATTTGAATAGAACTTACGGTTACATCTAGCAATTTCAACTGTAAAATGATGAGACCTGACGACCACGCAAGATAATAAAAACCATTTGGATGAAAGGGGTTACAAAGATCGATAGAAACAAAGACGGCTAGATTCAATCAGACAAATGATAATGATTGATATTGCATTAAAATTGTTGATGTTCATAGTTGCCCTGAAGAGTGTCCCACCATAAATGCGAGAGAAGAAACTATTAGCATAAAACTTACGGTTAGATCCAGGTATTTCGTCAGTAAAATGATGCAACCAAGCTGCTAGTATAGTACTGCCCTAAAATCCATCAACCGAGGTACAAAGAGGAAAGTTCATCAGAATAATTGCCATAAAAATAGAGGGTATCACAAAAAATTTAGCATCATTTTAAAAGCAATTATCTTGAAAACTACTAAGTCTTGCTCAATTGAAATTGAACAGTTTAGGTCGTGAACATCATAAGTTTATTATGGGGCCGATTTCATAAGTGTTCAATATGTGCACCGCCTGTGACACGGCACACGTCAAGTCGCTAGTTAAGCTCTTGCCAAACACCCTGTAGAATGTCTTCGGTAACATTATCCAGTGCGGAAGGAATTTTCTGCTTGAGTTCATTAATGCTTGCAGGAAGAGGAAGACATAGAACAGTTCATTCACAAAGAAAGAAATCACACGGGGGCAGGTCCGGTGACCACGGCTGCGATTTCATCGGAAAACTGCCTTCATCTTTAGCATCTCTCTGGCAGATTCTCATTGAGATAACAAAAGTAAAACTTAATATATAAAATCTTGATCTGTTTCTATACGTTCTGTGAAAATTTGAGGTTAATTCAGTAAGAAGGGTCAAAATTATTGGCCTGAGAAATGATGTCAGTTATTTTGGGACACCCTGTATTTAGAGAAAAGTACAGGAAAGAAACATTATGGCGGCGAGAACGTGATTGAATTGCAGAATCATTTCGATTTATTGTAAAGGCCCAATACGAAAGAAAGCATCCGTACAACATCTTTTTAGTTTTTGTTTTGGTTAGACGTTTATCGAGGTTTTTCATGTAGAGTTCCTGATTCTTTAAATAAAGAATGAAAAAAAAAAAAACTTCATTAACAGCTTTTTCTTATCGCTTACCATAATGATTATGTTCTTGACAAATAAAAACTTTGCATTTAATGAATTATTTTCTTCTCTCTCAAAAACGAGATATTGCTTTCTGATCATTAAAAAAAATGTCAAAAATATTCTCTGCGAAACTTTTTTATAGGATGTGCAATTAATGCAGTGATTGACTTTTGAAAGACGAATATGTTGGTAGTATGACGGTTATCGGCAGGCATCTAAAATGAAATTGGAAAGCTGAGTTTCATTACCGGGATCGTCTGTTGCATTAACTTTCACACAAATACCATTGGGAAGAAGTATAGTCCTCTATCTTTTCCTACTTTGTTATGGATTAAATAGTAAAGCAAATTGGACTATCTCGACTTGGATGACAACAAGCTAAATAAATAAATTTCTGAATTTCAAACTGCATGAAAAGAAATGGAAAGCCGCTCAAAATTTTAATTTGGATGATCTTGCAATCAAAGCACTTTCTATAAACTTTCGCGTTAGTAAATGGTTTTATCTATTAATTAAAACACTACTTTTATAATTATAGTCAGACGCATTGTCTTGAGCAAAGAATGCAATAAGTGTTTAAGGACACTTTTGTGCTCATATAATCTTTTCTTTAAATTTCCTATTTTCGATGTGGCTATAGCGTTTTCTGTCGTTGCATAATTATTAGCGACACTTGGATTTTTATATCACCCTCCGTTTTTCACACGTTATCTTTCCAGATGATACGTGGTAATTCACAGATAGTAAGAAAAGCAATCTGTAGAGAATCCTGATCGGTTAATTACTGAAAAGATAGGTTATTTCCCAAAATATACATTTGATATTGATATGTGGTGGCGCTGGTGGTGTTGGCGGCGTGAAAAATTGTCGTCAGTGGAAATGAAATCGTTGAACCGTGCTCAAATACTAGATGTCGTTACATATTCTATCATTTGACACGGTTACCTTGAGAAAAGGTACAAACCCAAAACCTGCAGCTCATTCTAGATGTCTTTCTACTAATCTCTTGCATCGGCTTTGTCACAATATTTAACCGAGAAATAAAAGCATCAGAATCAGTAATTAAAAGAATCTCTTTTCGTAACAAATGCTCACGCAGTAACAGCCAAAGAAAAAGGTTAGTAAAACATTCATATTGCTAAAAACTACCATTAGATTGCCACCATCTCTTCTGTAAAAGGAAAAACCAATTTTATTTTTAAATATGGGGGATAATATATAAATCTCTATCTATAAAAGGCAGGATGTGTGTGTGTGTGTGTGTGTGTGTGTGTGTGTGTGTGTGTGTGTGTGT